GCCTCGGCTTTCTATTTGGACTGGATAAAGGCTTTTAGGAAATGTCCTACACTCTTCCTCTCCATTGCGGATAGGTCTAATGGCACAGCAGTTTCAGCTCTGAGACTTTCTAAATGGGTCTCGAACTGTATCAAACTCTGTTACCAGATTTGCAGTTTAGCAGCTCTATCCGTACTCCGCACGCTCTGTAAGATCAATTTCCTCATCGGTCGCCTTGTTCAGGGGTGGTCCCCATACCAGAAATCTGCAGAGCGGCTACTTGGGTATCTGCATGTAACTTTGCAGAACACTATGCTGTCCTGGGGGACTCTGCTGCAGATGCTAGATTCGGTTCAGCAGTATTATCATCCATAACAGACTCGACTTTGAAGCGCCAGCCTCCTTTGGGGGATACTGCTTGGGAGTAACCTACATTGGAGCACCCATAGCGACGCTACTCGAAGAAGTTGTTACTCACCTTGTGCAGTAACGATTGTTCTTCGAGATATCTTTCCCCTATGGGTACTCCTCGACCCACCCTCCTCCCCTCTACTTCAGAGTTGTCATCATAAACTCTGTGACAGAGAAGGAACTGAGGAGGATTTGCCCACGCAGTGCCGGTTAGCCTCTTGGCAGAGCACAATAGGGGGACAGTGCATGTGTGCTCTGAACGGACATTGCTACTAAAATTCTCTGATCTGCAGCGCGGGGACACAAACACACCTACAGTGGAGCACCCATAGAGGGACACATCTTGAAGAACTAAGAACCCTTATTATAGAAAGTTACCTTGGGCCTGAGAAGAGGAGTTGTCAACCACGGTTTTCATTCTGGAATTTTAGACTGGCTTTTAGATAATGCTGGGCCCAGGCCACTGAGTACCTTGTACTTCCTTCTGTGTGAAGTCAATGTAGAAAGTAGAATACAGGGTTGATGTGCTTGTGGTAGCCTGTGTTAATGAGGAGATGGACTGCAGCATTCTGTACTAATTGGAGTTTCCTTAGGCATGATGGTTTCATGACAAAGTGTATTGCATTGCTGTAGTCCAGATGAGGTGTGAGCCACAGTGCTCCAGGTCCATTCCCTCTCACTGCCTCCTCACTCTTAAAGCTGCTTTGTAGATAGCAAAAGTTCTGATATCTGTAACTGGCTACAACTGAGAATTTGTATATATGTATCCCTGTATTTTAAAACTTCTGGTATCCTCACACCATGGACTTGCCTAGATGAATTTAGCGCATGACAAGTTGGGATATAAATCTACAGCAACTAGCATCCCATGCAGTAACTCTACATATGGATCCTGCTACTTCATATTAAAAGTTTCCTAGTGTACTACTGTGTACTAGAGAACTTTTAATGCACAGTAGCAGGGTCTACATGGAAGATTAGTGCATGGCATGCTAATTGATTTATACTTGCTGTTCATTAATTTTTTAGACTAACAAGCCCTGTGAGGTAATGCACGCTATTTACTAACACATGCTCCTTTGCTGGGTTTCACTGAAATCTTGGTAATTGGCACTTCGCTAAACAATACCTTTCATAATTTTGCACAAAAATCTCTGCAAAGAGTTATTATGTGGAGATGATGTAGTGAGGTCTGTTTAATGTCACTTTTAAAAAGGTACAGTACATTTACTAGTATACTGTGAAGTGTCATGAATAAAAACTAAACTACAATTGACCTGTAAACAAATGTATATTTTATTAAGCATTATCTTGTTTTGTTGTGTAATAAATAATATGGACAATGAGGAAGCAAGGAACCAACTCTGCCTCCAGTTGAAGGCAGACCTATCAAGGAAACAAAACATTTTTTCCAGTTTCATCAAGAAACTTACATTTGTTATTTTTTTCTACCTAAAGTAAATCCATGAGTATGTGATGTGGTTAAATGTCTGAACACTGCTTTCCGCTGTGCTTGTCAACTAGAATTCCTTACAGGAGTGCTGTTTGTTTAAATACAAAAGGCCAGGAGGTTCATTGTGGAAGGGTCCATTATATGCAACATCTAGAAGAGTCTAGATCTCAATTTTGCACGGTTAATAAAGAGCTATTTGAATTTCAGAGTGTGGTGACCATTGTCTACTTTGCATGGCAGCCTACGAGTTGTCTTTAACTGGCACCACTTGTAATTGAGATACAAATTTAGCTCTTCTATAGAGAAGCTCTGCGTCTGCTGTGAGTTACATACAGTCGCAGCAGGTGGGAGGGAATGAGGCAACATCAGCAGAGACTGCCCGAACACAAGATTCTAGCAGTTACTGCTTCTTCTGGAAGCCGCAGCTGTTAGATGATCTTTGGTGTCTAGAAGGGCAATTCTCCAGGTGCCATTCCCAAAGACAAGACAGCTAGAGGATTAGGGGCAATTTATTCCTACTCCACCCTAGAACTAAATCAGTACAGTGGGCAAGGGGGAGAGTGCTGCTTTGGAGCTCAAAGTGAGTGACAGTGAAACTGTCCAGTGTGGCAAGTTTTACCTGTTCTATTGCCATACTCCATTCTATCGACTTGAGTTAATCTGTTGTGTGGATGTCTGATTTGTCACTACAAGGAATCCAAGTGGTCCTTCCTCCCCAATTTGTTGCTTCAGGTGGAAGATGATGAATCCCCTGGGCCTGGGTAAGGAGAGAAGTGGAAGCAGAATTGAGGCTGCAGGCTACTACACATAGCCATTCAGGGAGAAGAGGGAGGGAGCTCATTAACCTATGTGGCTTCATTGCTGCTGGCTCTGAATTCCCAGGCAGCAGAGCTTCCCTAATTATACCTGGTCTTTTTGAACAGTCCCCCCACCCTATTTTGGGGGCAGGAGTGATTCTCACACACAAACCCCTTTGGCTAGCCCATGCTAGAGGGAGGGAGAAGCAAGCGTGCACCCCATCCAGCTCCCAATCTCAGATCTTGGGTCTTCTGCTAATCCCATCTATCTGGTGATGACATAGTAAGCAAATATCAGTAGGGATTAATGGTTATTCCTATAGAAGAGGGACAGGGTTTCCTTTAGGTGGAGCCCAATGCAGCTAAGTTTAAAAATTAAAAAAAAAAGATTAAAATAAAAATGAAGATTAGTTTTACTCACTACCTTTGTTTTAAAGAATGAGTCAGCAAAAAGTGTTGACATTTGGCTGCATCAGTTTGTGCTACCACTGAATCCTTGGGGGGAGGGATAGCTCAGTGGTTTGAGCATTGGCTTGCTAAACCCAGGGTTGTGAGTTCAATCCTTGAGGGAGCCACTTAGGGATCTGGGGCAAAATCAGTACTTGGTCCTGCTAGTGAAGGCAGGGGCCTGGACTTGATGACCTTTCAAGGTCCCTTCCAGTTCTAGGAGATGGGATATCTCCATTAATTTAAAAAAATTTTAATCCTGCATGTTAAGAGGGGAAAGCTATGGAATGTCAATCTGGTGGAGTAGAGCAGACCGGGTGGTATGTGAGCAGCATGAATGTCTGTTCTAACCATAATAACAAGGACATGATAACAGTTTTCAAGTACATAACAGGTTGTTGCAAGGAGGAGGGAGAAAAATTATTCTCCTTAACCTCTGAGGATAGGAAAAGAAAGCAATGAGCTTAAATTGCAGCAAGGGCAGTTTAGGTTGGACGTTAGGAAAAAACTTCCTAACTGTCAGGGTGGTTAAGTACTGGAATAAATTGCTTAGTGAGGTTGTGGAATCTCCATCATTGGAGATTTTTAAGGCCAGGTTAGACAAACACCTGTCAGGGATGGCCTAGATAGATAATACTTAGTCCTGCCATGAGTGCAGGGGATTGGACTAGATGACCTCAAGGTCCCTTCCAGTCCTACGATTCTATAAGAGGTTGACATGGGACAGAAATTTGATAGAGAGAACAAATGATATTGCATACTGGTGAATTGTCCCTCCCCCCCCCCCCCCCCCACCAATGCACCCTCAGTTTCAGTGTCATCACTTCTAGATACATTGCCTCTAAAAACACGTGTTATGGAATAACATTACTATAATTAACATCGTTATGTTAGTTTAAAATACTATTATTAGGGTTAGAATAATCGCAGTAAAAAATGTCAGCTACAAGTATGAGCCCTATGAGTTCAATGTGTTGTGATATCTGTATATAGTTTCAAAAGTACGTATCTGGTATGTTTCAAAAGCTAGTCAATCCAGTAATGGTATTCATGTATGATACAGGTTGGGGTTACTTTGAAGAGTTGCATGGAGTCTAGTCACAAATTGTGTCAAATACAAACTATTTTTAAAAGGCAACTGCTATATTCTCACAAACTTGAAAATGTTATCAAAACCTCATTAAACTATCACGAGCTTCTTCACCACGTTCTCACACATTTAGTAGTGACTACTGTAAAATAGGATATTGGAGTAGTTTCACCGTTAGTCTGGTTATTATGACAGTACGTATATTGCATTAATACGCAACCTACAATTTCAGTTGTTTGTATTTGTCTGGGTCATTCCCCGTTTTACCTCAGCAATTAGGATCCTTCTCAGTGAGAGGCCATCATCGTTCCCTTCTGAGTCATAATGAGCCTAGTCAAGTCTTAAAATCTGAGATTTTAAAGTGGCATAATTTAATGAAATGTGCTTATTTGTAATTAAGTGAAAGAAGATATTGATATTTTCAAATAGAATTACATAAACCTTCCCCTTTCCAAAAATGTAATGTATGTCTATAAAAGAAAATAGTAAGTATTTTAGCTTAATGTAATTGCAATTGCTCTTCGATCTTTCAGAAGAAAAATTAAGCTAGCTCCATAACTCTTCAGATGTTTTACAGAATACATTTTCTTCCTATTTATTGGGGTTTGCCTTTTAAGTCAAGCAGCTTAATTTGGGATTTTTATGTTTAAAGCTCTTCAGTATATTTTTTTATACACTTCTAAAATTTGCTAGTTGAACTTAGTGACTTGTTTATAGTTCTGATATGTGAATAAAATATTTGTGATTCTGTATTGTAGTCCAGGTGTTATCCAACAGATGTTTCTGCCCGTGTTCCTGTAACACTTTTTTATAATTATTTCAGTGCAATGCGTGTATTGCTGTCCAAGCTACCACGGCCATGGATTGTGGATGAAAAGAAGGATGACGGCTATACTGCCTTACATTTGGCAGCACTCAATAATCACGTGGAAGTGGCTGAACTCTTGGTGCATCAGGTAAGGCTTTCCTCTCAGGAGGATTGAAATATGTCACATGTCTTTGATTAACCTTATTGAAGCAGATACCTTGCCAAAGCAGCTGGGATAGCATTGGGCTGCATTCCCTATGTGCCAAGTTTGCCCTTTGGATCATTATTATATTGGCTTAGTTGTAAGAGGTGCAGAGAGATGAAATTGCTCCAGTACTTTTCTGAACAAATTTAACCCTTTAGAGTCAACAACTTGGAAATTGTGCAGTGAGTAATTTAAAAAATCATTATAATTAATTTAACAATGATCATCAATGTTTTCTCTTCCCTCTTTCACAGTCCAATTGGACAATCCAGCAGGCAGTTCAACAGCACCCTGAATGTACAATTGTAGGGTTAAGAATGTTCAGCCTATTAAACGAGGTGGTTGAGGATGAATCATTTATTTATAATTTGAGGATTCACTAATTGTAGTTTTTTCAGTTAAAGTTTAAAAACTATTAATAGAAGCCTTCAACCTTCTCCCCTTTATTCTACCTATAACTGTGAGGTTCATGCTCTTCAAATTTAGAGAATGAGACTGGTTTTACATTCCTTAACTTAATTCCATAAATTAAACATGTAGGGACAAATTTTCAAAAGTTCTCTGTACTTAAAATTGAGACCATATTTTCAAAAAAGGTCATCTCCTGTTTAGGCATTTGAAGTTACTGCTGGGTGCTGAACACCTCTAAAAGCTAGCTACTTCATATCAGTGCCTCAGTGGAAGCTTAGTGCTCTAGAAAATTTGACCCTGGTAATTTTTTCTAATCTCCCAAATCAAGGAGGTATCACATTCAGAATCTTATTATTTGCTCTAATTAGCTACCTTACTTCTAGATTTACTGTTGAAATCTGACATTCTTAACATCTTTTTCAGGGCAATGCTAACCTGGATATCCAGAATGTAAACCAGCAAACTGCACTGCACCTTGCCGTTGAACGACAGCACACACAAATAGTTAGGGTAAGTTATCCGTAATAAGCCACGTGGGTTAGCTTTCGTTTCGTTAGCCACGTTCAGTGTGACTTTAGTCATTAAGAGAAGGTGGAATTTATGAGCCTCGTATAACCACTTGTTTTAGCCTTTAAGATTAATTAAGATGTATCCTGTATTTAGATCAACTCATTTAAACCTTCTGGGCATACTTAAGTGACAAAGGATATACCCCATCTACTTATGCTCTTATGGTGACAGATGTTTTAATTGTATCTTACTTTCATTGGGCTTCTAATACAAGAAATAATTTCTAGTATCAACCAATCAAGAAACATGTTTTGTGAGGCAGCAAGGTTGAAAATACATTTAGTATCAATCATATACTTGTCTACCACTTAAGGTTTAGAAGTGCATGCTTGGATGCAGAAAAGCATTAACTTCTTGACATAACTAGCATAACAGATCCAAATTCTTCTTTCTGTCCACACAGCTGAAACTCTTTCATCTGTGTCTTTATCTCCGACCTTGATTATGTTAACTGCCATTTCTTTGGCCTCTCTGACATTTGCATCATCTTTCTCCAGTTCAGTCAAAATGGAGTTGCTAAAAATATCTTGCAGGTTTTTTTCACCACCTTCTCTCTCAAAATCCCAGTGACTCCCCTTTTTCACTGCATCAAGTTCAAGCTTACTATGATGGCCTTCAGGGCCTTATGTAATTTTGCCCCTGTATACTTATTCACCCTTAGTGGTGGTTGTGTCCCCTCCACCTCTGCTCTGCTAGGGATGCCATTTGTTTACCTCTTCCATAACCATTTTTGCTTTCATGTCCCATGCATGCATGCTGGCAACCCCCCACCCTCCTCCGAAACACTCTTCCTGAGCTGTGTTCACAGATTATTACTGCCTCTTCATTCAGCTCTCTTCTCGAGATCCACCTGTTTCACACTGCCTACTGGAAGCTTATTAATTAAATAATTTTATATTAATGAAATATTTTTATATAATATGAGAACACACATGTTTTCTCTATCATGCTGTTTGCTACCCTTTGAGTTAATTGGGTAATCTTACTGTTCAAAGTGGTCTCTTCATCCTTCTCCCACAACAGTCTCAGTGCTTTCTTCCACTCTGTTCCTTAAACACAGAATACCTGCTTTAAACAAATCCACTACCATCTCATTCGTCATTCTTCCTCCTCCCCAAGTCTTCATGTGTCTCTCGTTGTCTTAGATGCTAGGCCCCTCAGGGCAGGGCTTGGGAGTCCAGTCCGTACTGTGGTCTCTTGGCACTACTAGTATATAAATTGTAAATGATTTTTGTAAAGCCATTTAAAATTAAAAGCAACTAAGTATGTTTAACTTTAGCTTATATATAAGGTGCTAGGTTTGTGTCTCTGACCTCTTAAACAGTAACCTCTGCTAGGTGGAATGTCACTTTCAGACCTTAAGTTCTGTGGTTATGTCCTCTACGGGGACCCATAGTGTGCAGTTTGCGGAGGATACAAACCCGCAATGTGGCAAGAACGAGGGAGGGAAAGGGAGAATGAGAGAGATGAGGGTTGGGAAGGAGAAACTACTACAGATGTCAGATTTTCAATCTGTGATTTTTCACAAGTAGTATTTCTTTGTTAGATAAAACGAAAACAAAAAAGACTGGAATACTTATTGTCACAGCTTGTTCAGACTTCACAGAGCCAATAGATGGATAGTGAAATTATTCCGGTTAACACCCTTGATAGAAGTTTGTTTCCTAATAGCTAAAGAAATACGTTAAAGCTTGATTTTTTTTTTCATATTGAACATCCTTTTGGGGCACAATTTTGTGTGCTTTGTAAATATCTACCATTTTGTGCTTGCCATTTGTAAATGCTTTTTTCTGACAATGCAGTGCAAACATAATTATAACCACAAACACAGACCTAATTTGATAATCAGGCCTGGGCAGTATACAGTAATATTCATGATTCCCGAAACAGGGCAGCAATAGCCAGGATCTTGAAAATGTACCCAACACCTACTAGGCTAGAGAGCTAACCCTATTGACCAGGATGAAAAATACCTGTATTGCCACTTCTCCCCAAGGCTGTGCCCTGATTCTTGTCAATTTCACAGCTGTTTAGTGTTCTGAATAGGTGCAGTTTTCATTCTGCGCTTGGGCAAAGCCATGAGCAGCAGCAGAGGCACTGGAGCTATTCCCAACTGTTTTGTTTTAATAAAATAATACTGCATCTATTCAGACTCGGGTCATATTTGGAAGATTACCTTTTAAATCATGTGTGCCCAAAACTGCTTCTTGAAATTAAAGTTGAGAGTTGATGGCACCGGTTTAGGAAAACTTCATTACTCCCAAGGGTGAAGGATTCAGCGCTTCTGTCATTATTAAAATCCAGTTAGAATGTTGATATTTAGCATATTGGATAATGACTTTGGTTTTATATAGTACTTTTCACACTTTACTGAAATGCTGGCACTTCCAGGGAGAAATGCAAAACTAATTTAGGACAGGTAGGAAGAATACTTTTTTGTTGTTGGAACTGCAGTGGAAATTTTAGTTAGGCAGATCATCTGATATACTAGACCAAACTGAAGATTGAGTAGATAACCTGTATAAATGTGATATCTGGACATTATTTTTGGACCATAAAAATCCATAGTACATCAATAAGATGGACACAGGCAATGCAAAGAACACTTGATGCATGTGAGCTTCTCCATTATTCCTATAACCTAACCTACCTACCTAGCTTTCTTTTCTTTTTCTTTTTTTTCTTAAAAAATCTTGTGACAAGTGGTAAATATTGTCTGTCTTGCTTGTACTTATCGTTATTAGAAAAAAAAAATTTCTTACCCACAAGTGTTGACAGATGTGATCTCATTGCAGTGAAGCATATGATATGGCCCTATATCTGGAACTTCTTGCCACCAGAAGAATATTTTTCATAGAATCAATGTCACTTGCATTCTTCAGGCTATTCTAAATTTATATTTGGTGAGCCTCTGTGCCCTTTTAGAGCTGGCATGATACCTTGTGGGCACAATGCTAATCTAACAGATGAGCAGGAGAATAGGCATGTTGAAGAACTAGTAGTATGTGGTGTATCAGATTGGAGTGCTTATGTCCAAGAATGTTGAAATGGAACCCTAGCAGAGTATCCACACCTCAAAGCTGGATTAACTAAAAACCCTAAAATAACTTGCGCAGCCATGCAAAGAATATATTGGCTCCCATGAATCAAAATTATTAATTCCTATTGGGTTCCTTCCAAAGTTGTAGCCTTATGCATCCATGAAGTAGAAGTTAAGGGTGGTATGGTTCTTTTAAGAGCCCTGCTGTTGTGGGAAAGGGTAGCTCAGGCTGTTGTGCAGAGACATTGGGTTTCCATGGTTGCCCCAAGATCCATGAAGTTTTCAGGATGTTTGGTGGCATAGAGGGCTTACTTCTACCCATTCTGCAAGGAAGGAGAGCAGACCCCAACAGTAACTAAAGAGAAACTTCTACAAGTGGAACTTGCAGGTTGTCCCCCTCATGTGGAGACAATAGCTTGAGAAAAACATACCAATCACTGACTACTAGGAAAGAATACAAAGAAAGGAGGAATGGGGCCCATTTGTGAGATCCACAGGAAACCCATTGAGAAGCCCGTCTAACGCCATTTGCTGAATAAAGGGGAGGGTGCTAGGGCTTTTCACCTGGCTCCTGTCCCTGGACCTTGCTTTGGTGGTAGGAAGGGGAGTCTTGCATATCAGTTTCTGGCTAGTAGGTGCCTGAGGAAGTTTAAGTCCCAAATCACTCCAGGCTCTGGCTCTTATGTTTGATGTGGGGGATTGTCTGCTACCTTATCCCTCTCAAAGAGTATCCTGGCTGCTGGAGGGGAGGTTTGTTTCTCTTGCTCTTCCTCATATCCCTGCTTTCTGGGGTCTTTTTGCCTCTGCTGCTACTCATGGCTTTTGCCAATCCTTAGAAGTCTGAAGTTGATATTTTGACATTTTTACTGCTAACAGTTTTTTTTTTTAATAGCAGCGATGAAACTGACCATCTTGTTTGTCACACTGATACTGTGATCTGTCTGTGCACTAGGGAAAGTAGTGCTGCATCAACTCATGTTTGACAGTTATCTTCACAAGCATAATGGCTAGCAACTTAATTTCTTTAAGAGTAAAGAATTTGTAAGTATTGTCAGGCGATAGAATGGTGAATTCTTCAGTTCTTCAGCAGTTGGTTGTTTTATAATGTACAATGCCAGTATAAGTTACTAATGATATGGGATATCTTCATTATTTTTATCATTCCTTTTCTTAAGAGTTTGACTTTATTTGGATTTACTTTGGAAATGTGAGTTAGGCTGATATGTATCACATATATGCTTATGACTTCGCTAGAAAACTGTTACGAAGAAAAAAAATTGAACTAAACCTTACGTTCTGTAGAGATTGATGGCTTTAGGCTACACGCTTACTAAGGAAACTTTCCACTTGCTAGTTGCAAGTGGGCGTACTCCTTAATCATAGAGGGGCTGATTCAGCAGTCCATTTCTGTTCAGCAAAACACTTAAGCACCTGCTTAACTTTAAGAAGATACTTAAATCTCACTGCCTTCAATGGGGTTTAAGCATATTCTTAACTTTAAGCAGGTGCTTACGTGCTTTGTTGAATACGGATAGACGTATGCACATGTTTAATTGCTCTGTTTATTTTGAGGCCATTATAACTTTCTTATGGTGTAAAGATACATATCATGTGAAAATGTAATAATTCTGAATAATTTTATGGAAACCATTTAGAGATTCACCTTGTTAGCCTGCCTTTATTTCTGATATATTGCTTCTGTAGTGTTGCACGGTCTGCTTGTAGGATATCTCTCAAGTCTTAAAAAGCATGGTGTGGTTCTTCTGGCATGGTTTTTATCCCAGCTCCCCATCAAAGTACAGCTTGAAATCTAGTTCCTGATGAAATAAAACAGAGAGCAATTGAATACAGCAAAAATCCTAATTGGAATTGACTAAAAAGCCTGGAAAATACAAAATGA